AAAAAGCTTTGTTTATCATTTACTCAAAATGGTAAATTAATCTCAGAAGGTCATTTTCCTAGCTCACACCCCATATGCTTATCTATATCATTTGTTAAAAGCAAATTTCACATCTTCACTCTTTTATGATTGTATACAAATGATATATGACTTGTGCTATCTGGATCTCTTTTAGTAATTGAATACAAACATAATGCTAATATAGCTGATTTTATTTGGTCTTTTTTATGAAATTCTGTTTGAAGAACTTCTTTTATTTTTGGTCTAATTAATCTCATAAGTTGGAATATATATAGAATTTCATTTATATAGTCTAAGATCAGCTATTTATTTGATAAAAGCATATATAGAATTATTTTCAGGAACTTTTCCTATACATTTGCTCATTAAAGATCGATTTTTGTGTGATCTTTCTAGATTCCTTCTAACTAAATATTCTTCAAAGTGAATATCCTCTTATGTGTCTTGTCGCTTAACTTCAATAGATTCTTTATCACCAATTAATTCCTTCATATATTTTTCATTAAAAATCTCAATATTAGATGATAATTTTTCTCTATGAGCTTGGGTATCTGCTTGAGATTTTTTTTTTCTTAGATCCTTTTTTTGGGTATGGATAGTCAAACAGAATTAGATATTGATGTTTGAATAGGCTTTGGTTTAATAATATAGAAGCTTTGCTATTAAAAATGGGTTCCAGGGGCCTTTCAACAAAAAATGAGATTTTTAATTTATATTATAGTATACTAAATGAACTTTATTTGGTTAAATTTTTAGAGTTTATTAGCTTATTAATAAAGCAAGCAATTAAGGTTGGCAAAAATGCTTAAAATTTTTGTAACATTATTCAAAAAATATAAAATTAGATTTTTATGTAAATTTTAGAAATGATCGACATATTTTGGAAAAATAATTATTATATAGTATCGCTTTATTAATTGATTTGCCCCAATATATCTATTTTTAATATTTTTAGTGCAATTTTTTATTGGACAAGTATGTTTATTGTAACGTAACTATTTTTTGATCATTTAACTCAAAATCAATTTATAGTCTCGAAACCCACTTTTAATAGCAAAGCTCCGATATGTTCAAATAAATTTTGATGACATTGATATTTTCTTTCTGGATGACATTTAAGTTTTCATGATTTGGGAAAGATTTTATTACATCTATCACAACTATAATTAACTATTATAGTATTATACTTGATATATAATACTTATAAAAAGTTTTTCTTTAAATATTATACTTTGTGAGGTTTTATGATATTCTGTTCAGAATTTGGTATCTATTACCATTTTTTTTGACTTATAATTTATGAGAAAGAAATGGTTTTAGAATTGATTTTATATATTGTAAAATTACTGGTATACGAGAATGTGATCTATAGTTTTTAAACTTTATTGTATACATACAGAATTTTGGTGCCTACCTTAAGGTGGATACTAAAATTATGATCTGGTTAGATGAATATGAATCTGCTTTAGAATTTATTCTAGAATATCATGAAAATATAATATGCATTTTAGACTTGTATGATCAGGCCTAATTCAAATCATATCACTTTGTTCTTTGATTTTTGATGGTTCCTTTAGAGGCAAGCAGAATAGTATAAAAGTTATTATTCATATTGGGTTTGCAATTTCAGATTCAGCTCTAATCACGTCACTTCATTCCTTAATTTTCATTAATTCTTCCAGATGCAAATAAAATAGTAAAATTTTTTTGATATACTAAAATTTGGCTAGAATAGCTATATTAAACAGTATAATACTTGATATTTAAAGGCTAATTCCTAGCCAAGTTCGATAACATCATCTAAATTTAAGTCAAATTATGCTAGATAATTGAATTTGATAATTGATTTTATATAGCTAAAATTAATTCGTAGGCAGTCAGGAATCTTTCTATAACTTTTGGATTTTTATCTCAGAACTCCCATTTTGGTCTATATGAACAGCCAAGATATAATGTGCATAGTACCTTGGATTTTCTAATGATACCTCTTTATTACCATAAAACCCTTTTAATCCTGATTCCCATAAACCACATACAGTTAACCCTTGATATAACGAATTTTATGTCCTGAACTTCAACTTCGCTATAGAGCTATAGTGAATTTTTTAAAGAATTTGATTGGCTAGTTCATTATAACAAGGGTAAATTTAATATAGTTGTCCAAAAAATTCGTTATATAAAATTCGCTATAGAGAGGTATGACTGTACTTGTAAAATTACCTTCATTTCTTTTGGTTTTTCACAGAGTTTTTTATCTGGATAATCAGCCGAAAATATCATACTTTGAACTTGTTCATTAAAAATAGTATCGCATATAATTGGTTGTTTATCATCAGGATTAAGGTTTATATTTGTTGCATTAAGTGATTCATTAGCTAATTTTGCATAACTGGAGAAATTATCAAATGCAAATACTGCAATCATTCCAGAATGTGTTTTTTAAAATATTGGAATTACTCAAATTTTAATCTATAGTTATAAGTAAAGATAAGTTTTAAACATTTATTTTGATTTAAATATTTTTAATATATATGCCTGATCAATTAATTGTTTAACATTCTACAATTCATCAAAATTTTTTTTCAGAATTAATCATAACACATATTTCAGATAGAATTTCGGCATCAACATTATCATCACTCAATTTTAATCTTTCAATAGTATCTGTTAAAAAATCACTAACATGAATAGATTGTTCTTATTCTTTTTTTACGTAATGGCAGCTCATTCTTGGATTTCCAACCAGATTTCAGTCTATCATTTGATTGAAAAGTCGTCTTATCATAAGTAACTAGAATATGTAAATGTTCATCTTTTAATTCAGAATTAACTTGAAATTCATATTCCTTACCAACAAATTTTGGCATTAATTTTTGGTATTGATAAATAAAATCATATTAATTAAATATATATATGTATATAAATTAATTTAACTTTTATTAATAAAAAAAATATATAAAATACCCTTCCATAACTTCAAGAAATTCTTTTCGATAAGTATCAATATCCTCTCTTTTATGTCTATCAACATATATACCTTTTGTGTATCAGCTAAATATAAATCCCATTTTTTTAACTATCGAGTTGCTGTTTTTTTACTGAAAAATATGATCAGGTATTTATCACGAAATTAACATATAATAAAAAAAATTAAAAACAGAATAAATAAATAAATTTATACCTGATTGTTGTTTTATTCAGAAGGCAAAATTTCTTCACTAATAAAATCACAAAAGCTATTAATAGTAACATCAAATTTGTGTTGTCACAAATATGAAGCTAATTTAATTTGAATATCCTCATCATTAAGAATGCTGTTTCTCTTACGATGTTGTTCACGATTATCTTTAGGAATATCACCATAATTTTTAAATGCTTTAGCTAGTGATACCTGCCTAAACTCTTTATTGAAAAATTGTAGTTTCGTCAAAAGTTTCATCTCTTTAATATTTTTATATGAATAAATATAAAATATTATATTTTTTAATGTATTTTAATTCAAGAAATTTAGATTAAGTTAAATATAATTTTGTCAATTAAGTAAAATAATTTCGTTATTAATAAAAACTAGTTTCGTTATTTCAGTTTCGTCAATTTCGTCATATTAAGAAAGGTAATTTCTCAGGTATCATTAGCTTTAGCCCAACTTCTAATATATCATGCAAATTATATTCCACAATTTAAATGTTCTGCAACAATTTGGCTTGCTTTTAATTTTGCATGTCCTTTTTTTAAGAAGTTGAAATTGATATTGAACTGCTTTAAGACGCATTTTATTTTCTGGGGTTAACTGTTACTCATTAATTTTAATTTATTTTCAATCTGATCAATAAAAGAGATATATTTCATAAAGTGATCATTATTTTTTTCATTAATTTCCTTTTCATCATGATTATTATCTTGCATTTATTATTTAAATTTTCCTGAACCTTTTTTTGGATAATAGTTGGAAAAGTGTTTGTTCATTTTTTTTTGATTTTCCAATGCTTTGATTTTTCGTTGATATTGAGTTGTGCGAGAATTTCCCAAATTTACTAATGGACGTTTAGACATTTTTAATGTTTCCATATTTTTCATTGAAACTGAAAAAATATGTTTTGCATCATCTTCAATTTTGTTATCAATCCATTCAATTTCATCCTTTGTGCTGTTATTATCATCTGAACTTGAATTATTAGTAATTTCCACAACTTTTTTTTTTTTTTAGCTAGTGTTGTGTTTGTCTTTTTATCCGTGCCATAGGAAAAAATTCTATGATCTGCATTTATCGCACAGCCACATTTTTATATGCCATAGATCTGGCCTAAATTATAAAAATTTAGCAAATTCTGGCCAGAATTATATGTTTCAAATTCTGATTCTTATTAATAAAATACCTAAAAATTTGCCAGGCTAATAACTTTTGATCTAGATAACTAATCAGAATAATCTTAACGTTATTTTATTGCTTAAGTTAATATTAATTAAACTATGTTGAAATATTTTAAATTTATGTATATAAAAATTTTTTTATTAAATTTTTAATTTGAACAATTTTATTTTATGAATTGTTATGTCCCAAACCGTACCTTAATTTTAATAGGATACCACCCATATATCAGTTTCAAACTTATCACCTGATTTGTGGTATGCAGATTTTATTTTGAGAAACGATTTCAGCACAATGCATTGCTTGGGGAGCTGCATATCAATATGATACCAATTTCTTTCCATATTTTGAAGACTGTAATATATCAGTTGGGAATAAAAAGAGAAAAAGCAAAGAAAAGAAATTTGTAAAATCAAGCAAATAGAGAAATGTTGAATGATAAAGAATACGATAAAATAAAGTTTTAATTTATAAATATTTGCGCCAATAAATTATACTTCGAAGCCATGTTGATAAAATTTCTACATATAAAAATTTTTTGATTGAAACCCAAAAAAATGACCGGCTGTGTAACGTGAACAGAAAATCCAAATTTGCGTTACCTTAGTAGAGGAGAATCAGAAAAATTCTCATTAAATAAAATGACTAATAAAATAAGTATAAGACAGTAATGTTCAAGTTTTTTTTAAACAAATGTGCTACGGAAGTAATTATTTATAATCAAAGAAGTTTTTAAATATCATTCTGCAATGCAATCTTAAACAAGTTACATTTAAATTATGTTTACTTATAGCATTGCATATTATTAAGAATTACGATGACAGAACTTAAATAAATAAATTTTTAAGAAATTCGTTCTATTTTTCACGGTCAATGTCAAAAAATTATAAATATTCGGTATCGTGGTGTGTTAAAATGTCTGCAGTTCAATAATTTTCAAAGATTCGTGTTCATGTTTTCAACGGGAAGAACTCTCACAACTCTCACAGATTATAATTGATGCAATCCGTTTCTGGCGCTCAAATTTGAAACTTGCACACTTTCTTGATTATTATCAACCAACACGAAATCGTTAAAATTATGTTCCATTTCATACTCTTCGAAAAGGTTACAAGCAGAAGAATCTTCAAGAGGAAGATATGTATTCGGCATGAAATTTGTATCCTCAATATCTTGGGTATAATTGACATGATTTGCAACTCGCGGTGTTCTAATATCCTCTTGATCGATAGGTACTTCATTCATTCTATACGTGTCTTCGAAAAAGTTGCCATTATTAAAACTGGATTGGGAGCTATTAATAGTATTGTTATCAAGGAAAGAATTATGAATGCTGGCAGAATAATCTCCAATCGGAAGATACCCACTTGTTGAATTTTGCGTATTAATTATATACTCATCAGGATCCTGGGTATAATTTACATAATCACAGTCAGATCTACTAATTTCACTTGTCACACGTGAAACCTGCCCGCTTTCTTCAACTTCATTCATACGTTTATCAAATATGATTTGAATCCCATTTTGCTTATGCAAAGATTTAGCATCCTCGGACAACTTTTTGTAAAATTTCTTTACGATTTCTGGTTCCTCATCCCAATAATATGATGCAATTTTAGAAAGCTTGCCCATTGGAGGTAATTTAATGTTTTTAATACGATTCTCTTTAATTAATGCTTTTTTATACGCGATGAAAGCATTTGGAAATGTTTTTGCTTTTTGATTATTGCTAGGTGCTTTAATAACACTTATAATTTCATTTATTGTTAAATTGGAAGGGAACGTCGGTTTGAGAACATAATTAAAGTTGTCGCCGCCAATATTCGTTTTTTTATTAAACTTGGAATCGATATTTGAATTAATAACACGATTGTTATTTTTTTGCTTAATGGATTTAGGCATTTTTTTTATGTTATAAATCGAGTTTTAAAAAAAATTAATTTTTAAGGAAAACACGAAAAAAAAAAATTCTTTTAAATAATAAACTTTTGATCGATCAATTTCTTTCAAAGATTATATACTTGAAGTGCTGTAGATAAATCTTTATACATAAGTATGGAGGAAAGAAAGTTACGAAAAATTTTTGAAATTTTTTTCGTTATTGGAAGAGACTATTTTATAAGAAATTTTTTTCGATTTTCGATTTTCTTGTTGCACAAAAAAAAAATTTAACATGATAAGGAAATGGATTTGGGACATGGTGTCATCATCATCAATTATTTTCATTGTGCTCAATAAAATCACTTCACTACGAACAATTTAATTTCCTAAAAAAGAAAAATTAGTTAAAAAAATTGGAAAAACCTTTACCGCTGTTGAATTTGATTACCTCGCAAATGGACCAAGACCGTTCAAGAGAAATTTGAACGAAAGTTATTAATGAGCAGAAACCAAAAAGGATTTTCACGTTCCTCATTAAATATCTTAAATCACTACAACCGTCCCTAAGTGTGGTGTCATAGGAAACATTAGCAGAAAATTTAACAACTTAACAGAAGGATTAGTGCACTTTATGTATGTGTTAATCATTGTTTATTATGAAAATTTTCAAAAAATTTAAGAACAGCTGCTTGAAGAAATTGAGTGAAAAAAAAAACATTATGTAAAAGATTAGAATTACAAATATAATTTGATAATATTTTAATTTGAGATAAATAGTGAAAGTAGAGCGTATAGGGTTTAAAGTTAGCTAAGCGAATGTTATTTTGCATGAAAATGCTTTATGGAGGAAATGGTTCAACGGTTAGTGTCGTAAGCTTGTATATCAAAAGACTTCAAGACAAGTCGAAAGAGAAAAAAACTATTTGGGTAGAAATTGTTTTTCAGGGTAGCAAGCTTGTCTTTTACCTAAATATACCTAGCTCTTATAGCTCTTTTAATTTTTTGTCAATGAGGATTATTATAAATTTTCAACTTTGATACATGTTTTTCACTTTTTTTTGCCCAGTGAATAAATATTAAAATCAAAGAATTTATATTAATAAAGTAATTGTCACGTAATGGCCAATTGGGATAATTTTATGCTCGTTTAGAGAAATAAATTAATCCGATCAAGATTTTTTGTTTTTCTTCATATCTTTTGTTTATTAATGATGATTACTTGCTCAGTCTCGTTGCATCACGCAGATTTCGGCCTGTGAATCGAGGATAGGTTTACATATTTATATCATCAATTTACAATAACAAATTTGATGTGATGTTAACAACTTTAAAGAAGTTTCGGACAATAATCTGAACTAAATTGAACTAAGTTGCTTGGATTTTAGGTCCGATTATGGGTAATTCCTCTTTGATTGTTATAGTGGTCCGTTTGTAAATTCTTATTTTTTTTTGACAAACTAATTCTTTTGACTGGATAGCGTCAAACAGAGACAAGAATCTGCCGAGATTTTTGCATGTGATGATATGTGCATGAAATTGCACGTCAAAACTGACTTAATATCAGATAAACTATATATGCCATTCGCTTCACTCCTCGTTATACGTTTTACAAAGATTTATTCTTAGCAGATTGGATACATCTTACTACATATAAGAGATTTAACCGATATTATGATCGATTGGTCGTACTTATAATATATCTCTGGATCATGGTTTTTGTTAATAATTACAGAACATAATTATCTACTTGCTATATTCTAAAATTTTTTTTTTTTTTAATAAAATGTTTTTAATACAATGTTTATTAAATACTGTTTAAAATATATTCTTTATACTTCTCGTCACAATAAAAATTTTTTAATAGAAAAAGACTTGTCAAATAGATAATACTTTTACAATAATTTTAATGATTTGAATTTATTTTAAATTTTTTCATCACGTTTTACATTTAGTTATTTTAAAATCTTAGAAAGATTATATATAAAACGAATAATGGCTTCGGTAAATTCTCAAAAGGAAGAACTTTGGGCGTTATTGTAGTAATTATCAACGATATGAACTTTACTTTGTTGATACAAAGATTTAAAATGACTTACGTACTGTCTTTTGATAATTTAATACTTTTATTACTATAATATGTTATATTAAAAACAAAGGATAGTAAAAACATGATAAAAAATTTTAGATTACAGAACATGATAAACAATTGTGTGAATGAATATTAAAAAGTCTATTATAAATGATAAGTTTCAATATTGTAAATACCTCGCAACTAGCAAACCCGAAAGTGAATATACCTAATTGACCCGACACATAAGAATTCGCTTAAAAAAACGAACGATTCAAAGATTTTATTGCTGATCGACGCCTCTATTAAGAAAAAATAAAAATATTAATCGATCTAACTAGATTTAGGTTAGGAAATAATTTTTTAAAAAAATACATTCATTCGTATGATATGCTATAAGAACGTTGGAAGTGTGAACCTCAATTTGTTGGGTAGTTCATCCAGCGCAAAAAAAGTTGAAAAAATAAATAAAATAAATAAACCTTCTACATATAAGGTGATATTAATTTATTGATTTATTCCAGTATACCTGGATCATAAAGATAAGGACTAACATCTATTAGAATCACGAGGTTCAAAACTCTGATATACTCGGAAAATATACACATTAGTATAATCCGAGTCTGCGTCACAATAGCATTTGTCGCGCGTGAAACATGTTCGCTTGATTATTTTCTTAAAAAACATGATTTGAATATTATTTTATTTCTTATTCATACCAATTTTTTATTTTTGCAATTTTAAATATTTACTTATGGAGATATATTTTTATTATGATCCTTTAATAAAATTTTTAATTTGATTGGCCAGAAATTTTTGTGCAATACAAAATTTTTCTGGTGAAACCAGAAAAAAAAACAACAAAGTAATATAATTAATATTTAAAAAGTTATTTTTTTTTTTTCGTGACAATTTCCTATCATAATTACTTAAATTTTTAAATTAATAATATTGGCTTAATTTGTGTGATACAACAAAAAGAGGACATGTATGTCTCATATTTAGAGGTTGGAACCGGTTAATTTGGTTAATTTTTAACCGGTTAATTAACCGGTTAAATTTAATTCAGGCCGGCACTATAAATTTGGGCAAAACTAGCGAAATTTTGTAATTGCAAAAAAATTTTAATTCTGCCCGAAAATTAAATTTCGGCCAGAGTTAACATTAGTTATTTTAACCGGTTAAAAAAAATCTTTAACCGGTTCCAAAAAAGTTAACGTATGTAAGCCAATATTTAGATTTGAGAATAATATAATACCTTAAGACGCAACAAATAATGTATCCCTAGCGTGAGAATAATTATATTTGTAACGCTATCTGATCATGTGTGTAATTTCTATCCACCTTAACAAAGATAAAAGAAACAATTAAAAGGGGAAAATTTGTTATGCCGAAGTTTCATCATACTTGTTACACACGAGTTTTGAAAATTATAGCCATTGCCTAACTCGGATTCATTGAATGTTGTATCTATTGCTAAGAACGATAAAAAGTAACAATTTGAAAATATTGCATTCAGATAATAATAGTGTACACAAGCACTATTTTTATATAAGAATATTTTTTGGATGCTGAATTACTAATAGATGATACGGAATATGGTAATTTCTTTGTCTACAATTTTGCTTGTATGTGCTACTAAAACAAAATCATAAATTTAACAACAATTACTCATTCATTATAGTATAGATATGGAAATATCTATGGTGTTTTTTTTTTGGAATCTTAAAAGGCTTACCAGATTTGTATAGTAATATATTTATTGTACAATAATATAAAATCATGGAATCGATTACGTGATTTTGAGACTATAACAAATAACAAATATGGTAATCTCTATGACAAAATCAGTCTATAGGCATTGCTATATCTCATTTGCAATTTTGTCGATAATTTTTGTTTCATAGCACAAGCAAAAATGTTTATAAACACAATTGCATAGAGATTCCGCCCGCATCATTAGGTGCATCAAATTTTTTTTATCATTTTATCAATCATTTTGTATTTGTAAAAAAAAATTTATTTTTTGTACAATTTTGCATCACATTTAATTTGTATAAAGAATTGTTTTTAAAGAGACACAACACAGGTTATCAGAGATTAACCAAGTGACATAACATGTGGCATGATATTTCAATAGGGATACTTGTACGACGGCGAAATGATTAACATATTTGTTATAATAATATATCAAATTGGATTTCCGCATAATATTGTCTATTGTACTTTCTATATGTTTGTATTCCTGTATATATTAAAAAATTTCCAAGATTTCGAGAATTTGAAAATTTTCATTAGTGGAATTAATTTTTTGTTACAGTGAAAAGAAGATAAATAATCCTTATTAAAGTAAAGTAACAATAGGATGTTTGGATCAAAAAGAAAAAATTTAATCTCTGGGTCCGTTGCGTGAGCTCGCTTTTAACATGATTTAACCCTCACTTATGACGTAATTAATATTATTCATCGCAAAAAAAATGTTTATATTTTGGATTTTCTGGCCGTGATGCAAGCTTCGAGAATATTTTATACATGAACAAACTTATATTATCAGAAATACTCCAAAAATTATAAAAAACATTAAACGTATATATTGCATAAGTTGTTTGTGCATGACTGTTGAACGAACTACAGTATGTCTCGTAACTTGTTTTAATAGCACACGACGTAAATATATAATTCGCTAATTCAGTTTATTGAAAAAAAATGATTTATATTAATTAACATCTTATGGTAAATTTGCAGAATAAAATAAATTATTTAGAAGGAATAACCCACATGGAGCTGAATTTATAATATATATATAGAATTCTCGATTGGAAGATTACCATTTGCCGTTATGCCATATTGTGAAGCTGTTTTTAAAAATTGTTCATATAATTTATCCAACACTATTTTAATGGTAATTCATAGCTGACATTTATAAAACTATTTCCAAAAATTTTTGACTATC